TTGGTTAGGTTTAGTCTCTAAAACCACTTGGTTAGGTTTAGACACCAAAACCTCTTGGTCACCAAAACTATTTGGTTAGGTTTAGTCTCTAAAACCACTTGGTTAGGTTTAGGCACCAAAACCTCTTGGTCACCAAAACTATTTGGTCAGGTTTAGACACCAAAACCTCTTGGTTAGGTTTAGACACCAAAACCTCTTGGTTAGGTTTAGTCTCTAAAACCACTTGGTTAGGTTTAGTCTCTAAAACCATTTGGTTAGGTTTAGGCACCAAAACCTCTTGGTTAGGTTTAGTCTCTAAAACTATTTGGTCAGGTTTAGGCACCAAAACCTCTTGGTTAGGTTTGGCTTAAAATAATTATGACATGATTTAACTTATGTAATTCCAGTAACGTTACTAGCGTAACCTACGTATTATAATTTAAATTCAACATTCAATGATGACTCCTGATGATGTCTCCTGGTTGAAAGTCCGGTTTCTTGCCCACCCATCCACCCCAACCTCCTCCCTCATCTGACATTTCTGTTAAATATCCTATGCCTACCTTTATCGTTCATAAACGACACTACAGGGCTTCCCCCAGTGCGTTGAACTATGACGCTAAGGGGCCCCTCATTTTGCTCCAAACTGACGCCAATAGGTCTTTATGTGTCCATGTGCGATGACTTGGGAGTGAGAACGGGTTGGACAGAAACACACCTGGTACACCTGAACATTTCCTCACTGTAAACACACTCATTGTTTATTCTTTAGCTCTTTATGTTCATGAACTTTAGTTTCTGGGCTATTTGTGAATAGTTTCCAAAATCTTTTTCATGTTAAAATGTTGAAACACACCTGCTGTAACCTTTGTAACCACCAGGTGTCACCAAATCAAGCTGTTCTGAAATCTTAATGTCTTGACGCGTGCAGACTGTAAGCTGAAGGTGTGTTCGGCAGGTATGGAGGTGCTGAACAGAGCGATAGAAAGCATCATGAACTCCACAGACCGAGATGAGTGGGAGCCGGCCGTCATCCACGTTACCGACAACATCCTGTCTCTGTGGAAGGGCGAGGTACCGTTAACACTCAGTACCAGACTCTGTTAACCTGCCAGGTTCAAGGTCGTCACAGCTCACTCTGTTCCATCTGTCTGATTGGATCCCGACAGGAAGGGGAGGAGCCTTTCTGGGAGTGTCAGGTACGTTTCCTCACCTTTCTGGGTGTCGGCCACGACAGCCACACCTTCGCTGTGATCGTAGATGGCGGCACGCAGGAGTTCGAGTGTCACGTGTTCTGGTGTGAACCGGACGCAGGGATCCTGTCTGAGGCCGTCCAGGCTGCGTGTATGGTGAGTCACCTGAACGTTACCTTCGGTCAGCTCACGTGCATCTTCGGGGTCGCTGATGTCATGACTTTATTTCCCCGGTTCTTTCTCTCCGTCAGGTTCAGTATCAGAAGTGTCTGGTGGCTCAGACTCCACCTCCGAGGACCAAGTCGTGGCGTGCGATGCCGTCAAAGATCAAACGGGCCAACTCCATGGACAGCGCCACCTTCCCTCCCCTCACGTCCCGTCACAATGGCGGCAGCAGCGGCACCATGATGATGCCCGGGATCACCAAGGGCAACGGCAGCAGTAGCAACGTGAGGAAGGGGATGATGGCGTTCTTTGAAACTTTCCGGAACAAACAGGCCACCACCTCATAATGACGGGGGCGGGGCCATCAGGGACACGTGACAGCAGAGACCGCCGATCCTCCAGGACTCAAACGTGTTCGCCAAAACCACAATGGCGTCTTCAGACCAACGTCTGATTGGCTGAACTCTGTGTGCGCACGGCTCTGGTGGTCCGACCGGCTGATTCTGCCGCCTTCACGTCACCAGCGACGACCCGGAGACCGCAGTCGCCTCGCCTCCTGTTTATGGCGAGCCACCTGACCGCTGGTTGAACAACATGAACCGACCAGAGCAGGAACAATGAACAACTACTGGACTGCAGACAAGTCGCACACGAGTGAATCCAAGACGACCGACCAGGAACGCCTCCTCACCTGCTCCGTTACCTGTCAGTCAACCACACAACAGACCAACACACCTGTGGAGGATCAATTTATCCTGAATATTAAAAGAAAAACTGTCATATAAATTATAATCATATCATATTACTCAGGATCACAATTCAAAGTTAAAAAGAAAAAGATGTTGAAATGACAAACTATGAAATGTTCATCTGCGTTTATCCTTTGAGCACAGCTGACTAAATAACTTCCCGACCCTCACTGTCATTGACCGTGATGCGTCAGGAGGATTCGTGTCGGGATGTCAGATATGTTTCCTGATGTGTTCGCTTCGTGTTTAGAAACGTGTTAAAGCTGCAGTAAGTGACTCTGGCCAGCAGAGGGCAGACACACAAACACATGAGTCCTGAAACACTGATGTAACGTTTACTGACCTCCATGTTCATGTCACATGGGATGTCAAAGTAAAAGGTCACCCTGGCTGTTCTCCTCCTCCATTACACCTCAATATGGCGTCTCAGGAGAGAGTCAGCAGACTGGATCAGCTTTTGTCTTGAATCGTTACAGATACAGTCAGCATATACCGTCCACGTTTATAGAAGGCTCCCCGGTACTTTCTAACATACTGCGAGTACTGCAGATCACATCTAACGCAGTATTCTGGCCGACATACAGTTCATCTGATTTGTCACACACCTGCTCCTCGCCGCCACCACAACATCTGAAACTGACACAAACCTCAGCTGTGCTCTGTGCGAACAACCGCCATCTTTGGCGTTACGGCCTTTCCCCATAGGATTCTCTTCAGTGTTCAGAGTTCTCTAAGTGGCGTCTCTTTCTTAAATCGTCTCTGCTTGATAACACAAAAGAAAAAGAGTAAAAGATAAATCAACAAAGCTGAGCATGTGTTTGATAAAGACGCGTTAAAGGAACTGTATCTGACCTGAGAGCTCTTGAACGCCTCCTGAGCTGCTCAGTAAACGCACCGCAAATACATTTACTGCAAGTTTATTTTAGAAAAAAACAGTTTGACTTGCTGTTTGCATGTCAGGCACAAATGCCAGCATGGAAGGTCCTTGAAAACATCCTGGAAAATGATTTCAGACGTGTAAACATGTTCTGACAGCTTCACGGTACTGAATGTACAGTTTGGAGGAGACGTTCACACATATTTAACTTGCTATAACATATGTAATGTAAACTGACAGATAGTGAGTGCAGCTGCCTCCTGGTTGGCTCAAGCACCTGTAGGTAGAAGCTTTAGTGTGTTTAATGTCAGTAGGAAATCTCAGCGAGAGGTTTGAGTGTGTCCCAGAAGTCTTAGAGAAACGAACGTCTGCAGCAGGACGTGGTGAAAACCTTTTCTCTCTTCGTGTCTGTTTTTCTGCACTAAAGATGATGTCATGTATAAACAAACCAAAAACGTCAAATAAACAAGTGAACATGGTGTCGTCGTCGTTGTTGTTGTTTGTTTTGGTCTGTAATATTTCTGAGGATCTACAGACAGAATATATGATCCATAACTATGTTTTCAGTGGTAAGAAGTAAGAAGAGAAGATAAATCTGGACAAATGGAGGAGACGTGTTTTGAACTCAGCTCGTCCAGTCGATTTCATTAGCTCTGAGACAAAAACATAATTATTAAAGGTGCAGAAGCTGTTGCAGCTCTTTGAATCAACTCCAGACTGTGCAGAACTTTAACCGGAACCAGGAGGTCTGATCACACCTGGTTCAGCTTCTGTGCATTCAGATCTCATAGATTACCTTTAAGGCTCTCCGTGACCTGGCTCCAGGTTATACTTTGGATCTTTTAACTGCCCGAGATCCTCGGTCAGGGGTCTCCTGTCTCTCCCTGAGTCCAGGCAGGAAACTAAAGGGGCCCCGAGGCTCTGAACCACCTGCCAGAGGACAGCAGGTGGTCAGACTCTTCTTTTAAGTCTCCAAAAACCTTTTTAGGAAAGTCAATTCTTATTTTATGTGTTTATTCTCATTTTATTTGACTTATATATTATTATCAAAGTGATAAATTCATCAATAATTATAATCCAGTAACATATTCTGCATAATGAGTACTTTTACTTTGACTTGTTTTGATGCTAATACTTCTGCACTTAAATAAACATTTAAATGCAGTTCTTTTACTTATAACAGAGTATTTCTTCTCTGTAGTATTAGTACTTTTACTGCAGTAAAGATCTGAGTACTTCTTCCACCTCAGGTCACAGCCGGTCTGATAATGGATCAATAAAGCCTGGTTGGGGACCGGTTGGTCAGATCAGTTTGACTGGATGTTGACTTGTTCTTACTTCAGTTGAACCGGTTTCAGTCTAAACGCTGGAGGCTGTTTGGATTCTTCACCAGGTGACAGGAAAACACCTGGAGGCTTCAGTGGGGGGGCAGGGCAGGACTCAGGGGATCCTGGGTCTGATCCCAGGACTGTGGAGGCTGGAGAGGATGTTAATAACTAATGTAGAGAAAATAAGGAGAGAGAGAGAGAGAGAGGAGGGTCAGATGGAGTGTTAGGATGCCCCCCCCCCCACCCTCCCGGCCTCACCCGGTCCTCGTGCCTCTCCAGCTCCTCGCGCTCATCAGTCACTCGGACAGAGACGAGTACCGGAGAGGAAACACAGTTTAACATTTTGGAAGGTAGGTTCAGATTCTGTCCCGTTTAAATGTCTTTTCTTCAAAGTGAGGTCTCAGCTCTCATGACACTGTTTAAGTTATTTGTTTGTTCGTTTAAACTACATTCAGACTCAAGCAGCAGCTGTTTAACAAAACAGTCCTGCGTTTTTAATTATTTTTATTTTTGCGCTGAATTCTGACTGAATCTGAAAAACGTGTAAAAGTGTCCAAATCTTTAAAGTCAGCGCCGTGTGGTGTGTTCCAGGCCAAACTGAAGACTGGACTCTTTGAAAATGTAAAATATCATTTATGTTATTCCTTCAGTTGATGATCTTTACTGGGGCGCCTGAAAACTTTAAATGTAGAGAGTTATGAACAGAGTCTGGTATTGTTTTAAATCACATTAGTTAACCTGGAGTCCAGCTTCATCTCTCTGTCACCAGCTGAAAACGAAGCTCTAAATGTTGTTCTCGTTTATTTCTTTATACTTATGGATGTTTAAGTCAGTTTTCCATTAAACCTTTCACATGAAGGGAAACTGAAATTAAATCTGAGACGATGATATTTAAATGAGTTTATAATTAGTTTTGTGTGTTGAGATGATGGGGTGATTTTAAAGGTGTCTATGTGTTCATGCTGTCATTCAGAACTCCAAAACTATCATTTTAAACGTTCTTTCAGTGAAAATAACTGTTAAACTGAGGAACTTATTGATTATAACACCTTGTGAAGTTTGGTTATAATAATGTTTCGTATTTGTTTACGTCCAAATCATTTTTATTCATCACGACCGTGTGATGTCATTTCTTCAGCACAAATTCTGCTTAAACGTTTTGTGCATGTTGTTCTGTTTAGTTCCAGCTGTTCTGTTTAGTTCTAGGTGTTCTGTTTAGTTCTAGCTGTTCTGTTTAGTTCTAGGTGATCTGTTTAGTTCTAGCTGTTCTGTTTAGTTCTAGCTGTTCTGTTTAGTTCTAGCTGTTCTGTTCGGGCTCGGGGTTCTCCCTCCTGTCCGGTTCCTGCAGCAGACTGGTGAGACTGGAAACCAGCTCACTGCAGGTTGTTTTCTTGTAAACAAATAAAAGTCTGTTCAACAGAAACAACAGCTGAACTCAGAGGTCTGTGTGTCTTTGGACTGGTTTCCATGGAGAGATTAGATTAGATTACGGCTGGTATGAAGGCAGCTGACCAGACGTTAGACGGATCCCTGAGAAGAGGTCATTGATAAGGACCTCAACGTGTTGTGAGTCACGTGACAGCACGACTTTTTATTTAAACACTGAAGTAATTTGTAAAATAAAAAGGTTACGGTCGTTAATCTCCAGACTATTTTCTAAATGAGTCGACAGATTATTTTAATAAAACATTAAGTTTGTTCTGTTGGACCGAAAGTCTAAAACTGTTACTTAGATACTGAGATATACAACTGAGAAACTGGAACCAGGACTTAAAAGATTATTAAATTGTTTATCAAAATCCACTAATTATTTCAACTCTAGGCAGAACCAATGCGGTCCAAAGTTTTACAGCTCCCCCATGTTTGTAGTTCTTCTGTCGAGTGAAAAACCTAAATGTTACCAAAGTAAGCTGCAAACTGCCAAAATTAAAAACATTTCCATCAGAATATTGTATTCACTTCCTTCCACTGCTGCAGAAGCTTTATTTGTACTATATTGTATATATTATATATAATATTATTGAAGGCAGACAGAGCAGCTGGTCAACAGTTGATCCTACAGTGAAATAATGAAGAAAACTCTTTCATTTACGTTGTTTAACTTTGGTAGTTTCCTTTTAAATTTTTTTTTTTACTGGACATAAGATTTACATAAGAACTACAAACATGGTGGTGTTCTAAAACTATGGAGTGGTAGTGTACACATATATTTATTGTTTTCATTCAATGGGAAGCTAATTTTAACCACGCAATGTTGGGTAGTTTAACAGTGCATCATCTTTTATAAATCATTTATTAATCAAATGTATTTAATGTATACAAATATAGTCGGCCTAGTTATTATGTGTAATCAGTATATAAGTATATATAACTGCTTAGTAACTGTTAATTAATATACACAGAGTTTTATTAGAGAACATACAGCAGTTTTAGTGTCGCCGTAACGGGAATCGAGTCCAAGGTCGGAATATTTAGATAAAAAATGTTGCAAAACAAACCAGAAATATTTCGCGATGTTTTTGTTCCTGCTGAGCTAATCAGAGTAAATCTTTAAAAACAATCTGACAGTTTGTGCTCTCCTCTCTCAGACTGATTGATCCGTCCTGATGAGCGACCAGCCTCCCCCGTACATTCATCACCCCCCCGGGGGCCCCTCTGCTCCCGGCTTCACATCAGGTTAGTCTGTTACAGTTTTAAAGGAAATAATCATAAAACAGCACTTTCATTCATTCAAATATCTAATAATAACAACAACAACAATAATAACAATAATAATGTGTTATTGGCGGTCGTTCCCATCCTTCAGTTGACGTGACTCACCTGTTCATTGTGACATCTGAGTACACTGATGTTTGTTATTATGAGTCCTGGAGGTTAAACTCAGTTCAGCCACATTGTGTTGACCTCTTGTCTCTCTGCAGCTTACAGCTTTCAGCCTGCATCCTTCCCCGGCTCGCCATACCAGGTACGCTAGCATGCACTGCTGCAGCTTCCTGTCTGACAGTAAAGCATGAACATCATGTGATCATTTGTGCAAGGCTCAGACTCTCTGTTCTGCTGTCCAGGTGCATGATGGACCCCCCAAAGGTCCCAGTTTATTTATTTATTTAATGTTTATTTGACAGAGACAAATGCATAGAACATTGCTTTATAAAGAATACATAGTAGATGCCATGCATACAGGTTTCTAGCCATGACTAATTTGCAACCCCTGTCCCTGGTTAGGCTTATAAAATTAAAACAGAGATTACAGAGTATTGAGTTTAAAATTTACAACCATTAAAATACATACAATAAATACATCCCATACATGAAATAAGATATGGACTGAAGTAGATGTAGAAATCACTATAAACAGAGTCTAGACACAACAAACAATACAAGAACACAAAAGTGTGCATATGTCTATGCATGCTAACATATGCAACATCATGTTTGTATGCATTGCATTGTATCCTGTACAGTCAGTGTTCACAGAGTTGTTTCAGTTTTAACCATTGCTTTTAATGTATTATTATTATTAAAAACCTTGAGTTCTGTCAATGTTTTAATTTCGGATGGTAAAGCGTTCCACAAAAGTATGCCTCTTACTGAAAACGATGTCTGACCAAATGTTGTTCTACATTTTGCGGCTATACAGTTTCCACTTACTGTGGCTCTAGTTCTTATTCCGCTCTTTTGTTTCTCTACTAGTTGACAGAATATTTCTGGTGCAAGGTTGTTCACACACAAATTTACAAAACTGTCAAAACTCAATATATTATGCTTCCGTAGAATGATGCAGTGGTGCCATCTTATTAGATCTTCTTAGATTTCTGGTCCATTACTTTTAGTGCCTGTTTATATAATGACCTAATGGGTGTAATTGTTATTTGGTTGGCCTGACCCCAAACAGTTATGCAATACGATAAATGAGAAAATATCATAGAATGCATAAACTTCTGTGCTGCCTTAAGGGGTATATATTGTGTTATTGATCGGCAGTTTAAATTTGAACGTTCTGCACATTCTCTTTACATGTCTACCAAACTTAAGATGAGAAGCTAAAGTAACCCCTAAAAATTTTAATTCATGTACCTCATCTATCTCCTTCTCATCAATCTTTATTATGAAATTTTCATTGACCTTTCTTTTTATTGAAAAGCACATAG